TTGTCTGAGACTGGAGATCTTTGAGTCTCCTCTTTCTACCAAGTAGCGGCTGATGGGTTTGAACTGCTGCCCTTGCAACTAGCAGCCATGTGTAAGCTGCGCCCCACCCACCCCCGGCCTGGATGGAGTGTGCGCCGTGGGGGCCCCAGGGAAAGGCGTCTTGATCCCGGTGCTCATCTTGACTCAGCCAGCGCTCCCCCCGGGGCCCGAGATGGATGGACTGATGGACGGACGGATGGGCGTGTGGATGGCGAGTGTGCGGCTGCGCACGTATGACCATGTCAGGGCACCTGTGCCGAGGGGCAGTGTCCTGCAGAGCGCACGTGGGGTCTGGGGGACCCCTCCTGTGCCCACTTCTTGGACTTTGTGTAAGCCAGGCCCCTCCCCACCATCCAGGAAGCTGCTGCTGAGAATTAGGACTGGCTCCTGCCAGGTGTTGGGGAGAGGTCCTTGAGCCACAGAAGGAACTGTCTGGTGTCCCCAGTCTGGCCAGCCCTGACTAAGGCAACTGCTGGCTGGTCTTGCCTTCCCCAAGGCCATTTCAGGGCTTGGAAGGGACGGGGGTCTCTGAAGAGGCAGGTAGAAGTGCTGATAGAGGGGTCCGAAGGTGAAAAGCAGGTAAAGGGTACCACCTAGTGGCTGAATAGCAGGTGGGGATGGGGTGGGGGTGGGGGCATGCCTCTAGCTCTAGGGCCTCAGTCTTTTCATCTGTAACATGTGACCCTTGCCACAGCATAGGTGAAGCAATTCTGTGAGAGAGGGCACCTGAGGTGCAGACCCTTGTGAAGGGCAGGCTCAGCTGGGTCCTTGGCTGGGCTCAGGATGTGGGGCCTGCTGTGGAGTTTCTTCCTCCCTCCCATGCTGGGTCACTGAGGGTCCCTTGCCATTGACAGCCAGGACTTGTGTTTCTCAACCTCGACCTCAACCTGCCCCTCTGCCCTGCCCTGCCTCCTGGCCCCTAAGGCCGAAAAGCCACCTGCCCAGGTCCCCAGATCCAACCCCTGTGACTCACAGGGGCCCATATCATAAAGCAGACCAAGAAACCCTCCCTGAATTCCCACGGTTACCATGGCAACACTGGCCTGCTTTGGAGTAAGATGTATTTTGATTCTGTAAAGTACAGCTGGAGTTTGGGCCTCCGGGTGAGGGGCGGTGGTGGCCAGCAGTGCCCTCCAGGCCTCCCCTGGTGCCAGGGGTGTGGCTGAGATGCCAGGGGGCGGGGGGGGGGGCCCTCTGCCCTTGCCTGGCACTTTCCCTCCGCCTCCCGCCCCTCTCTCCCTGGGGTACCCTGCAGGCCCTGTCATCCTCCTGGAAGGGTGCCTCCACTCAGACACACATTCACACATGCATCTCTGTGCCCTTGGGGAAGAAAGCTGCTCTGAGCAGAAGACTTGGAAGTGCTAGCATTCCACTCAGGACAGGGACCCTGCCCCTGTGCCCTGGGACTTACCAGGGTCAAGCTAGATGCCCCAGAGAAATACTTGAGCATACCTCCAGTGGGCCATCCTCCTTGGTCTACTCATTTGCACATCCGACCCCAATTTCCTGGCCTGAGGAGCAGTAGGAGGCCACAGGACTCAGCCACTCAGTAGAGGCCCAGGGGACCAGGACCCCATCCTGGAGGGACAGGCAGGGCCCTGTGAGGGAGACTTGTGAGCTACTCCTGGACTTGGGAGAGGATCTCAGCTGCGGGAGAGGGACTGGGTCTGTCTCCGGGGGGCTTCTGCAGCCTGGAGTAGGGGCCCACCAGGACAGAGGGGGAGCCCCAGGGGCATCGGGGGTGGCACAGGTGTGCGAACTGCTAAGCCGTTGCCACCCTACTGGAGCTGATTCCTGCCCGGAGGACGACGGCCTTTAGAGGGGCTTCCAGGCTGTTGTCTTTATGGGAGCAGATTGTCCCATGTCCCCCCTTGCGGCAGCTGGTGGGTGCCAATGGCCAGCCCGCCTTTTAGCGGAGCCCTTCACCACGGCACCACCAGCACCTGAGTCTGTAGGGGAGCAGAGGAGTAAGGCTTCGGGACCTTATGGAAGGAGAAGGGGCTCCCCAGAGGGGCATTTGTGGGATCTCCAGCTTGACCCTCCATTTGCCCCTCCTGTCCCCAGCCACCCTCTGTTCAGCCCTGCAGCTCTGAGGACCTTCCTAGGGCACCCCTAGACTTTCAGCTCCCCTCCATCTGCCTCCAGCGCTTGTCCTCTCTGATGAAGCCACGGGCAAGAGGAGGGGCGAGAGGACCACGTGGGGGGTCAGTCATCTTCTTGGTTGGTCACTTCCTGAGCCGGGCCATCAGCCCCTCTGACATGCCAGCCCCACACTGGGGAGTCTGCAGGTGCGCCAGATGATCGGGGAAACTTGGTGTTGGGTTTGGCTGGGCACACCTGGCTTACCAGCTTGCCTGGCGGTTCCTGACCTGGAAATCTTGCGGGGGCATGCTGAGAAAGAACTGGCTATATTGGAGTTAAGACGTGTGGGAGACAGAAAAACATGAGAGCTGGCAGAATGTTCCAGAGAGAACATCTTGAGCAAAAACCAAGTGCACTGCCACCGAGTAGATTCAGACTCATAGCAACCTGGCAAGGCAGGGTAGAACTGCCCCTTGATTGTCTGAGACTGGAGATCTTTGAGTCTCCTCTTTCTACCAAGTAGCGGCTGATGGGTTTGAACTGCTGCCCTTGCAACTAGCAGCCATGTGTAACCTGCAGTGCCACCAGGGCTTCTTGCTTTGAGGCAAGGCCTTACCAGAGCTGGAAAGGAGCATGACTAAGGGTGGGGGGTGAATGGGCAATGATTCAAATGAATATGGAACCCTTTGCTTAGAAAATATCGAGCATTTCACGATGGTGGCCGCAGTGTATCCAGTGCGGCGTGGGGACCCTCTGAGCAGCTACGTAGAGTGCACACCTGAGAAGCAGGTCTGAGCAGCTGAACAGAGTACCCGGGACAGAGTGGCGGGCCAGCTAGCAATTGATAGAGCGCCTCCTACCTGCCAACCATGCTTTCAAGCACCGAGGCCAGGGCCGTGGACAGAACAGCTCCAAAGCGCTGTCCTCCCAAAGCTGACACTTGGTGATGACAGACACTAGACTTAGAACCAAATCCCTGGCTGCCAGGGCCAGTCAGATTCTTTGTGGCCTCCAGAACAGGGCAGCACTGCCCTGGAGGGTTTCCGAGGCTGTCGATCACAGAAGCAGACAGCCACACCTGGGGGGCCTCCCACCGCCGACCCTTGGATTAGCAGCCAAGGAATTACATGCTGAGCTCCCTTGGAACGGCTGGTGGTTTCAAACTGCTGACCTCGTGATTAGTAGCCCAAACTGCACCACGAGGGCTCCTCTTAACAGGGGAGACCAAGACAGTACGTGCTAGGGCAGGTGACGGCCAGGGGCAGGAGAGGGGAGGGGTGCTGTTGTTAGACGGACAAGAATGGGACATTGGACCAAGACCAGAAGATAGGGAGACAGGGAGTGTGTGCTAATGGGGGAAGAACATCCCCATGCACCCCCTACGTAGCACGTGCCACGGCCCTGTGGCCCAAGTGGCCCAGTGGCTGGAGCAGGTTGGAGTCTCCTGTGAGGAGGAGGTGGTGGTGGAAGCCAGGCATGTCGAGTTTGTGGGGGGTGGGGGGAGGGGGGCCAGACAGGGTGCAACACAGGTGCCAGTGAGAGAGGGGGCGTGGTCTAGGGCAATGGCAGGCGAGAGAAGGTGTGAAGTTTTGGGTGTGTCTTCAGGGCACAGCCAGCAGGGTTTGCTACTGAAGGAGACAGACCATGCGGCCACCAGCCAGGAATGACTCCAGGGTTTTGGCCGCGTGACCTGGCCTGCGTGGCGCCCACAAAGGTGTCTGAGTCCTGGGGGGGCTGGTGGGGGCGACGGCGCGGAGCATATTTCTTGCTAGCTCGGAAGCCTTCCTTCCCTCCACTCCTGCGGGAGAAACCCCTCGCTGACACCGCCGGCTGCCTCGCTGGCGCCGGGTGGGGGTGGGATTCCTGTGCCGCTAATATTAGTAGTTGCCAATTATCAGGCCCTGACTTCCCGTCATGCCGGCTAATGCGAGCTCCTGAGCGAGCGGCCCTGCCTGTCCCCACCCCCACCCGTGCCTCCTGGAGGGTAGGGAGGAGGCTGGGACTTGTGGGGCTGGGATTCGAACCACCGCATTGGCTTCGTGGGGTGCTGGGGGAGCCAGCCCTGTGTCCAGGGGACCTGGAGCTCTGGCTCTCAGTGGCAAGACTCTTCGTTCCCCCTGCTCTGGAGTCCTCCCCCCACCCCTGGCTGGTCCTGGACAAAGGGGCTTCTGTCCCCACTGGCCCCCTCCCTCACGGAGTGCCTGACCCACAAATGGTTATGTAACTATGGCTAGGCAGGGGCTTGGCCAGAGGCCGGCTGGACCAGAGTCCATGGGGAGTGGGGTGTGTGTGTGGTGGGTGCGTTCCCCTCTTCTGGCAGGCGGCTGGTAGAGGGCAGGGAAGGGGACCAGGAGAGAGATTTAGGGGCAAGAGGGAGGGTGATAGGCCCTCCATATGGACAAGGGGGAGCCTCGCATCTGCTCCCTTGGGCCCCGGGCACCCCTCCTAAGAGCCCCTTCTGACTTGGGCAGGGTGGGCTAGTTTGTACTGGCCTGTAGATGTCACTCCCCTCAGTGAGACCCTATTCCCGGTGGGCCTCCCAGCCCCACCCCCCTAGCCCCCACCACACCAGGCCCATCTGTGCCCTTCTGAGAGACAGATTGGTCAGCTCTCTCCTCCCACGGCTGCAGGGCACTCACCAACAGGTGGGTGTGTCGGTGGTGTGCCAGCCCTGCCTCCTGTCCACAGGTGGGGAGCTTCTGGGGCCCAGCATCACGACCCTGTTGAGCTGGCAGTGCCCTGGGAAGCTGGGGCCCACAGAGCACAAGGCGTGAGGAGGGCGGGAGGGTCCGTGCCAGAGGCTCTCAGGGCTAGGCACAACCTGCCCCCTTGTGCCCCCCTCCCACCCCTAGAACTCCTGGGTTCCACCAAGAAGATCAATGTCAACTTCCAGGACCCAGACGGGTGAGTGTCCGCCCCTCGACCTGGGGACTGGGCTCGTGTGCCCTGCCCTCCCCTCACAGGTATCTGCACCTCTAGCTTCTCGGCCCTGCACCACGCCGCCCTGAACGGCAACGTCGAGCTTATCTCCTTGCTGCTGGAGGCTCAGGCAGCAGTGGACATCAGGGACAACAAAGGTGGGCAGCTTGGGGGTTGGGCCGGGTGTGGCAGGGCCAGGCGATGCAGGGCCTGGGTCTGGGCTGGGGTCCTGTGTTCTGAAGCAGGGATTTAGGTTAGGGCTGGGTGTGTGGACCACAGCCTGCACGGTCCGGTCCGGGGCCTAGGGTCCAGGTCCAGGATTGTCTGGATGGCCCGGCACCCAGGTCAGAGGTGGAGTTCCCCTGCAGGTTTGGATGGTCAGGCTCCAGGCTTGCAGGTCAGGGGTGGTGGCCCCAGAACCATGAGTCCCCATCTGCATCTAAGCATGTCCTCTTGTAATCAGCGCAGTCAGGATAGGTTCAGGGTCAGGGGTCAGCCTCACCACGCCCACTGCCTGCAGGCATGCGGCCCCTGCACTATGCTGCCTGGCAGGGCCGGAAGGAGCCCATGAAGCTGGTGCTGAAGGCAGGCTCTGCAGTCAACGTCCCATCCGACGAGGGCCACATCCCCCTGCACCTGGCTGCCCAGCATGGGCACTACGACGTGGTGAGGGCTTGGTCTCAGGGGGCTGGCAGATGCGTGGGGAGGCTGGCGTGGCTGGGCTGCAGCCCTCCAGTTCGGGCAATGGGGCCTGACCGGGGACGGCTGGGCCCCCACAGTCGGAGATGCTGTTGCAGCATCAGTCCAACCCCTGCATTGTGGACAACTCAGGGAAGACGCCCCTGGACCTAGCGTGCGAGTTCGGCCGTGTTGGGGTAAGCCTCCCTGAGACGGAGGGCAGGGCTAGCTCAGTCCTCCAGCCCTCAGTCCATTTGTTCTGTCCTCCTGGCCTGGGGTGGGGGCATGATCCCTGGGACCCAAGCCCCATGCCAGGGCCCTCCGTCCTGCCTGCCCCTCAAGGTGGTCCAGCTGCTCCTGAGTAGCAATATGTGTGCTGCGCTGCTGGAACCCCGGCCGGGGGACACCACGGACCCCAACGGCACCAGCCCCCTACACCTGGCAGCCAAGAACGGCCACATCGACATCATCAGGTACAGCTCTGTGGGGTGGGGACCCCAGCCTTGAGAGCCTAGGGCCTGGGGGCTATCCTGGGCTGAGGGGTTCCTGGGCTTCCGGATGGAACAGGGACAGGACAGACAGGGCAGCTGGGAGCCATGACAAGGCGAAGGGGCTGGGGGTAGGGCAGGGTGCTGCCTGGGAGCTGGCCTTGTACACATATGAAGGGGCTTCAAAAAGTTCAGGGGAAACCCCAAAAACTCAAATGAAAGAAAAATATTACTAGAACTAATTGGAAAATTTGGCAACCTGTCAAGGTATACAAAAATCAATTGGATTCTTGTATATTAAAGGAGACTACTCCAGAGAGGGAATTAAAAGAGCAATATCACTTACGATAACCACCCTAAAAATAAAATACTTAGGGACTGTAACCAGAGAAACGAAGCAAAAAGTTATACAAAGCAAGCTATAAGACACTTCTGAAGAAACCCAAAGATATTTACGTAAATGGAAAAGTGTCCTGTGTACATGGATGGAAAGACTTGATATAGTGAAAGTGTCAATAGGATCGGGTGTACTCTGTAAATTCAATGTACTTCCAATCCCAGTCCCAGCACAAGTCTTGAAAGAAACGGACTGGGACAAGAGCCTAGACCGAGGCCTGCCACACGGTGTCTGGGACCTTCTAACAGTAAGACATTGATGTTCGTTAAATGGTTTCGTCCAAAGAGAAAAAAGAGCACTGACAAGATTGGGGGGAAAAATATCTGTCCACGATGTATCTGATAAAGGGCTAGTTTCAAAAACGTATAGAAAAATTACAATACCTTAGTAAGAAACACAGCCTAATAAGAAACATGGGCACAAGACATAAATGAATCAGTAAACGAACAAAAGCTGAACATCCAGGCAGCCAAGAGTTAAGGAGACATGCTTGAGATCATGAGCGATCAGAAAACACAGATGAACACAACAATGAGATGCCACCTCACCCCCGCCAGCACTCATGGTGCCCTCCACGCCCCCGCAAAACCCCGAACCCAAACAAAAATGATAAACACGGAATTACAGAGTTGTAGTCACTACGGAAAACTGCATGGCTCTTCCTTAGACAAATCCAAATGCATCATGCTCCTTCCATCGCTCTACGTGGTGTGCAGCCCACAGAACTAGAGAACAAGACCCCAACATGCATGTGCCTTGCAGAGTTACCACAGCAATAGCTATCATAGCAAAAGGAACAATCAAAAACCCCGTCTTTGGAGAAATCGATGGAAACAACAACAACAGCCCTCTGATCCGTACCCGCCACGGAAGAGGACGCGCCCGTAAGAAACCATGGTGAGCCGGTCGAACACCTCATGACGTCGACAACGTTGGAAGATGTTGTGCTCGGCAGTTTGTCAGTCCCATAAAGATCAATGCTTTATGATCCCATGAGTGTAAAGGAACAAAACGAAGGACCATGGTTTTCCCACCAAAGGAAAAGACTTCTAAGACTCTGGTGAGGCCAGGAGCGAGGGGGAGAGGGGAGGGATGAGGGCGGGTGGGAAAAGAACCAGGAAAAGAGTCCCATGCAGGGGGGTGTCCCTGGGATACTGTCCCTGTTTGAAGGCCTGGGCTGGGTGTACAGCTGGGCACCATATGTTCTTCTCCGCAAGTAAAAGGAGGAAATAATGATAAAAAACAAAACGGCTTGAATTTAAAATCCTTAAGAAACACCCCAGGCTCTCTACCCATCAGACCTAAACGCTGGGCGGCGTGGTTATCAAAGGGGGAAGTCCAGTGGAAAGGGCCTGCAGTTCTTTTGGGACACACGAGCTAGTTCCAAACGACCAACAGAATCCACAGAAAAGTCCAATGTCTTTTAATTCCATTTGTCCGGGAACTTTTTGAAGCCCCCCTATCCCCCTTCCCCAGTGCTGGGTGACCCTGTGGAAGGCAGGTCACTTCTCTGAGCTTCAGTGTCCCTATCCACAAAGTGGGCATCACAGTATGGCTGAGGCTTAGATCAGACAAACAACAGCAGCTGAGGGCATGGGCTGGGCTCTCTGACCCGTTAGGGTCTCCAGGGAGTCTAAAGAGGGCTGGCCATCAGTCCTCAGGGAATTGGGGCCTCTTGATCACTCACCCCCCCTGCCCTCTACAGACTCCTCCTCCAAGCCGGTATTGACATTAACCGGCAGACCAAGTCAGGCACAGCGCTGCATGAGGCTGCGCTCTGCGGCAAGACAGAAGTTGTCCGGCTGCTCCTTGACGTAAGTCGGGGGGCCAATGAGGCTGGGGCTGGGCAAGGGGGGTTAGGCTCAGACTATGGCATGGGGGCTTGGAGGGACTAGGACAGGGCATTCTAAGATTGGGTCACGGAATGGAGACTGAGATGAGGGGTGCTAGCATCAGACCATGGCATGGGGACTGGGGAGTTGGGGTGATGGGTGCAAAGATAGGCCTGGGGTATCAGGGCGAGGGAGGCTAAGATTGGGCCTTGGCAAGGGGCTGGGGGCCACGGTGAGCGGTGGGGTGCCAGGATAGGGCCATGGCATGCTGGGCATGGGTGTTGACACAGGGTTCCTAGGATCAGGTGGGGTGGGTACCCTGAAGGCTGAGACAGAGGGTGCTAGGCTCAGGCCACAGTGTGGGAGCCACGGGACTGAGACAAGGAGTGTGAGGATCAGGCTGTATTACGGAGACTGACATGCGGGGCCCTAGGATCAGGCCATGGCATGGGGTCTTGGATAGGGCAGAGGCCTGCCAGGCACCAGAGTGGGGGGGCCGTCTAACAGCCCCTGCCCTGTGCAGAGCGGGATCAACGCCCAGGTGCGCAACACCTACAGCCAGACGGCCCTGGACATCGTGCACCAGTTCACCACGTCGCAGGCCAGCAAGGAGATCAAGCAGCTGCTGCGAGGTGGGCCCGGGGGAGGGGCCAAGGGGCCCAGTGGAGGGCCTGGGCGAGCCAGCCGCAGGACTGGGGCTCGGCCTCCTGTGTCCCCAGAGGCCTCAGCGGCCCTGCAGGTGCGAGCGACCAAGGATTACTGCAACAACTACGACCTGACCAGCCTGACCGTGAAGGCGGGGGACATCATCACGGTGAGGGGTGGGGCGGGGCAGCCAGCTGGGCGGTGTGCTGCAGAGGAGGTAGGCCCAGGCCGCCCCATCTGGCAGCGTCCCCCCAAGCTGACCACCACACCCCATGCGGTCAGGTCCTAGAGCAGCACCCGGATGGCCGGTGGAAAGGCTGTGTCCATGACAACCGGACGGGCAATGACCGCATTGGCTACTTCCCGTCCTCCCTGGGTGAGGCCATTGTCAAGAGAGCAGGTGAGTGGTGCCCGGATGTGGAGGAAATGGTGGGGGTCTATCAGGGGCCCAGAGAGATGCTTGTGTGTGATATTTGTTCATGCATCTGTGTGTACATGTGTCTGTGTGCTTACATGCCTTTGTGTGCCTGTGTGTTCACATAGCTGTGTGCCTGTGTATTCACACATCTGTCTCTTCACATGTCTATGTATACATACATCTGTGGGTTCACATAGTTGTGTGTACTTTGTGCTATGTCTGTGTGTACATGCATGTGTGCTTGCTTCTCTTTGTGTACATGGCCCTACGTGTTCACACATCTCTATGCTTATGTGTTCATGCATCCATGCATCTATGTTCATGTGCCTGTGCGTATGCACATCTATGCACACATGCATCCGTGCCTACATGTGTCTGTATGTGCATCTGTGTTCATGCGGTCGGTGTACACACTTCTGTGTACATGTGCCTGTGTGTGCACATGCCTGCCCATTTATGCATCTGTGTGTGAGATGTGTTCACCAGTCTCCATGCATCTGTATGTACACGTGTCTGTGGACACACACAGAGCTTGGGGATAGTTTGGATTCAGTTCCAGCTCGTCACAGTAAAGCAGCAATCGCCAGGAAGGAGCCGCGTGCACATTTTGCTTTCCGAGTGCATAGAAACGCTGGCCTGACACGAGGCTGCAGCCGATGAAGTGGGCACTTGTGGTTAGGTGCCCTCGAGTTGGCAGATGAACAACAGAGCAGGCCCTGCCCCGCTGGGCAGCATCCTCGTGATTTTAGCTTTGGGCCTGTGGTGGCAGCCACCTTGTCCGTCTCATGGGGCGGGGTCTTTATTTTTATAGCTGGCCCTCTGCCAAGAAGGAAGCCCTTCTCCAGAGACCGGTTTCTTTTGCTACCAGATCCAAAGTACATGAGACCAAGTCTCACCCTCCTCGCTTCTAAGGAGCAGCTGGCTGTACTTCCTCCAAGACAGATCTGTTTGTCCTTCTGGTGCCCACGGTACTTCCAGCATCCTTCCTCAACACCAATAGATCAAAGGCGTCAAGTCTCCCATTTCCCTGAGTCACACTCAGCTTTCATACGCCTGCGAGGCACTGGAAAATCCCCCGGCTCGGGTCAGGCTCAGCTTCTCCTCTAAGTCACATCTTTGCCCTTTGAGCACTTTACAGAGGTCTTGTGCAGCAGATTTGCCCAGTGCGGGATGAAAGGGCTTGGAGTGTTCGGAGGAGAACTAAAACGGGGCGCAGAGACATGAAGTGGGCATGGGCTTCGGAGAAAATGTCGCCAGTAGTCTTGCTCAAGACTGGGTGGTCCCAGAGCCCCGATTGGCCCACACGCAGAGCAGCAGCCGAGCGCAGTCCCACACGGGGTGCACCTGAGACCTCTGTAACGTTGCTCAACAGCCCAGGGAGGATTCCCATGGAGGCCACGCAGACCTCCCCTCTCCTACCTTTGCACAGTTCACATGCTCGCTGCACCCCACCCCACCCCCACTCCCCACCCGCAGCACACTCGGACTTCTCTGCCAGGTTTGAGGCATGCATAGCAAAGGCACATCTCCGATGGTAGCCATGGTGATGGGGTTATGCAGAACGTGACAGGTTATAAGCCAGGATCCCCCAATCAATCAGGAGAGCCTCTTATCAGCCACACCCACAGGGAGGCCCAGACCCTCTCGATCCACCAAGAAGTGCCCAGGAGCAGCCCACGTACCAGCAGGCCTCCTTCAAAAGGCCCTCTGCTCTCTCGCTGCAGGGACCATGAGCGGTGGAAGCTCCCTTGCTGCCTCCTGGTTCTGCCTCTGCTGCTGTCTGTCTCCTCACATCTTTCTCTGTCTCCTGAGTCTAGGAGATTCTCAGCACAGGGACCCCAGGGCCAAGATGTATTCGGCCCCCATCTCCTCTTTGTGGTAGTGAAGCCAGCCGGCCCCGCCCCCCTTCCCCATCTATTTCTGGACCGACTCATCGTAAGCCTGGCCCCATGGTAAAATCGACCAATCCTCTCGTTAGGGGTCCACCCACCTCATTTGCCGCCGCACCTTGTTTGTACAGTGACCAAGCTGTCCAATCCCCTTGATGGGCCTCAGGGACCAGATGTGCCTAGTCCCACCCGGTCATTTGGTGGGAGTTACAAGACCATGGAGAGAACGGCCAACTATCTGGAAGCATGTGCCCATGTGTCTGTGGGCACTGGGTGGCTGACCTAGAGCATACGTGTGGCCCCCTTGCTGCCCCAGCCGGTCTCAGGGGACCTGTGCTGGCCAGCAGGTTCCCGAGGAGGCTCTGAGCCAAGCCCACCCCCAGGAGGCGGTTCACCGGGGCCCTCTGCACCTCCGGAGGAGATCTGGGTGCTGAGAAAGCCGTTTGCAGGTAGCTGGGGGCCCCTAGGGCTGGCTGGGGTCTTCCCACAAGGCACCCTTGGGGCTGGGTGACCCCCTTCCCACCCTGTGTGGCCTGACATGCCCTCCCGCTGGCAGGTGGGGAACGCAGTGGCAGCTTGAGCGGTGCTGCTGGTGGCCGGGGAAGTGGGAGCCACGCCCTGCATGCCGGCTCAGAAGGGGTCAAGGTAGGTGGAGTGGGGTGGCCACTGGGGTGGCTGAGCCCCGAGCAGCTCGGGCGAGTGGCTTCTCTGGGTTGTAGCTCTTGGCCACGGTGCTCTCGCAGAAGTCTGTGTCTGAGTCCAGCCCTGGAGACAGCCCCGTCAAGCCTCTGGAAGGTTCCACAGGTAACACCCAGGCTGCAGCTGCTGGGTGGAGGGGTGGCGATCCTGAGCAGCGTGTACCCCGACCGACACTCTGGTCCGCAGGTACTGGCCGCGCCCAGCCGCCGGCGGCTCATGTGGAGCAGCAGCCCAGGAAGCAAGACCTGGTCTCTGAGGGCAAGGTACTGGGCCAGGCCGGCCAGCATGGCGGGCTTGCGCAAGGCAGGCACTTGGGACGGAGGCTGGCAGCTCCGCCCACTGTCTGTGTCAGTCTGTATGTGTTGTGTGTGCTCGTGCACGCGTGTGTATGTGTGTGTAGGTGTTGTCTACCATGTGCTGTGTGTGAGCCCACGTGTGCATGGGAGGTGTGTGTGTGTCCACTGAGCGTGACAGGCATGAAGGAAGCAGCGGGGTGTCTGTGCGTGGAGCAGCCTGACTGGGGGCTGGCACAAGTGTGAGCGTGGGTGTGGAAGGGGTGTGCGGCCAGGCGTGTGGGTGTTGCCGGAGGCATGAACAGCTGGCTGTGGAGGAGGTGAGGGGCCCCTACCCATGGGCACAAATCTCACTTTCCTGGAAGTGAGGGGAAGCCCTGAGCCACCCAGTCCCAGGCCCTGCCACAGCACGCCCTCAGCAGGGGGCCATGCTGCCAGTGCTCGGAGATGGTGGCAGGATCCCGCCAGGACCAGCAGGGCCTCCCTGGTGAGGGGCCGGGGGAACCGTCGGGGGCCCGGTGACATAGACTGCAGCCGAAGTGTCCACGCTGAGGTGACGGACGAAGGACAGCCCAGGGCTGGACAGCGCCGGAGGAAGGCAACTCCAGGATTGCTGATGGAGCCTGGTGCCCAGGGACCATGGATGGCCAGCCTGGCACTGCACTCGGAGGAGGAGGCGGCGGGCGCACACACGCCCAGAGGGCAGGCGCCTGGGCCCTGCAGCAGGTGCCCTTGTGTCTTCCAGAGCGCTGAGGCGGTCAGCCAGTGGCTGGCCACGTTCCAGCTGCAGCTCTATGCACCCAACTTCATCAGTGCCGGCTACGACCTGCCCACCGTCAGCCGTATGACTCCCGAGGTGAGCTGCCCTGGTGACCCCCTCCCCGTCGCCCCCGCCTCCCTGCACCAAGGCCCAGCCTCCTGCTGACGGCCCCTCCCGCCCAGGACCTCACGGCCATTGGTGTCACCAAGCCAGGCCACCGGAAGAAGATCACCGCGGAGATCAGCGGCCTGAGCATCCCTGACTGGCTGCCCGAGCAGAAGCCCGTAAGGCCCCCCGCCTCCCGGGATGGGCGGTCAGACGGCCTCAGTCTGTCTGTCCGCCTCTCACTGGGGCCGGCCTCCCCGGGGCAGGGGCCAGAGTCTTAGGGAAAGGGGGCCAGAAGCCAGGTGTGCATAACCCCTGCCAAGACCCGGCCAAACCTCAGCCCCTGCACATCACGGCTCTGACTGCACAGGCCACACAGCGCTGGCCTGGGCTGACACACCTGGAGAGAGAGTGTGCCAACACCAGCTGGACTCAGGGCACCGTGAAGGGGTGCAGGGACATGTTCTGGGTGGGAGCAAGTGTCCCGCCCCTCCTGTCAGTGGCTCAAGGGTTCTCTCAACCTCACAGAGGCTGACAGGGTGCCGAGTGTCCATGGTGCTGTCCGTGGTGCGTGGGGCTCCGTGGACCTTGTGTGGGGAGAGGGCTGGTGTTTTGGGGTGAAGTGCATTGTGGGTACTTGCACATGCGTGTGGTGTGTAGAGGTGCGTGTGTGAGCATGTGGACGGGAGACACAGAAGTGGTGTGAGCGGGCTGTGCAGGGGTGTCGGTGCCTGGACATGCCTGAGTGTGCCGTGCATGTACTCCTACGTGTGCAGTGCGTGTACACACGTGTGTGCGTGCACGGTGCATGTGTCTGACGTGGCTCTGAGTGTGTCTGCGTCTGCGACCTGTGGGTGAGTTTATTCAGGCAGCAGCCCCTGGGTCGTGGGCTAAATGTCCTCCCCCTGAGGGTGGGCATCGGAGAAGGGGTCTCCCTCTGCGTGTGAGTCTACGTGGCCTGGAGCTTCTGCCCTGCCCCTGAGTGGCATCAGGCTGCACCCATGCTGGCTCCGATGCCAACAACCCCAGCCTGTCCGTCTGTCCATCCGTCTGTCTGTCCCGGACAGCTCCTGGGAGGTGGGCAGGGTGTGGGCGGCCGGCCCTGGCTGCCCTTCATATCCCCTGTCTCCAGGCTAACCTGGCCGTGTGGCTGTCCATGATTGGCCTGGCCCAGTACTACAAGGTGCTGGTGGACAACGGCTATGAGAATATCGACTTTATCACCGATCTCACCTGGGAGGACCTACAGGAGATCGGCATCACCAAGCTGGGTGAGGCTTCCCTGCCCTCCCACTCCCTGCACACCCCACCCAGCCCACCCTCACCACCCCAGGTCCCCACCTGACCGACCGTACCACGTTGCCCAATAGGCCACCAGAAGAAACTGATGCTGGCGGTGAGGAAGCTAGCCGAGCTGCAGAAGGCGGAATATGCCAAGTATGAGGGGGGACCCTTGCGTCGGAAGGCACCCCAGTCCCTTGGGGTGCTGGCCATAGAGTCGCCACCCCCGCCGGAGCCCACGCCCGCTGAGTGCCAGTCCCCGAAGATGACAACCTTCCAGGACAGTGAGCTGAGCGGGGAGCTACAGGCAGCCATGACCGGCCCAGCTGAGGGGGCTGCCGCCGCTGGGGCCCCTGACAAGCCGTACAACCAGCTGCCACCCACCCCAAGGGGCAGCCTGCGGCAGGAGCCCAGCCTGGGTGGGCGGGTCCGGAACATGAGTGGCTCCCAGGAGCTGCTGGGTGATGGACCCCCTGGGCCAGGCAGCCCCATGTCTCGGAGCCAGGAGTACCTGCTGGATGAGGGACTGGCCCCCAGCACCCCACCCAGGGAGGTCCGGCCTAGTCGCCACGGCCACAGTGTCAAGCGTGCCAGCGTGCCCCCAGTGCCTGGCAAGCCACGACAGGTTCTCCCACCAGGTGCCGGTCATTTCACACCACCCCAGACACCCACCAAAGCCCGGCCAGGCTCCCCCCAAGCCCTGGGGAGTCCTCATGGCTCCACCCCAGCCACCGCCAAGGTGAAACCCACTCCACAGCTGCTGCCACCGGCAGAGCGCCCCATGTCACCCAGATCCCTGCCCCAGTCACCCACCCACCGTGGCTTTGCCTACGTGCTACCCCAGCCTGTGGAAGGGGATGCAGTGCCCACCGCCCCGGGGCCCGTACCCAGGCTGTGCCTACCCCCTGAGGCCGACGGTGAGCCAGGGCGGCCAAAGAAGCGTGCCCACAGCCTGAACCGCTACACTGCGTCTGACAGCGAGCCAGAGCGGGACGAGCTGCTGGTCCCAGGAGCGGCGGGGCCCTACGCCACTGTCCAGCGGCGTGTGGGCCGAAGCCACTCGGTGCGGGCGCCCGCTGGCACCGACAAAAATGTCAACCGCAGCCAGTCCTTTGCTGTGCGGCCTCGCAAGAAAGGGCCCCCGCCACCCCCGCCCAAACGCTCCAGTTCTGCCATGGCCAGCACCAACCTGGCTGATGAGCCTGGGCAGGATGCTGAGACTGAGGGGGGCGCGCCCGAGGACAGAGGGCTGGGAGTCCGGGCACAGCGCCGGCGGGCCAGCGACCTGGCTAGCAGTGTGGACACGGGCAGCGCCGGCAGCGTGAAGAGCATTGCGGCCATGCTAGAGCTGTCATCCATCGGGGGTGGGGGCCGGGCCGCCCGCAGGCCCCCCGAGGGCCACCCTACACCTCGTCCGGCCAGCCCGGAGCCAGGCCGAGTGGCCACAGTGCTGGCCTCAGTGAAGCACAAGGAGGCCATTGGACCCGACGGGGAGGTGGTCAACCGTCGCCGCACGCTCAGCGGTCCTGTCACTGGACTTCTGGCCACTGCCCGCCGGGGGTCTGGGGAGTCAGCTGATCCTCATGGGGCTTTTGGTGAGGATGGTGCTGCCCGGCAGCGGTCCCGAGGCCCAGCCAAGGGTGAGGGTGGCAGCGAGGGTCCCCCGCTGGCCAGGGTAGAGGCCAGTGTGACTCTCAAGAGGCGGATCCGAGCCAAGCAGAATCAGCAGGAAAATGTCAAGTTCATCTTGACCGAGTCTGATACAGTCAAGCGCCGGCCCAAGGCCAAGGATCGGGAGGTGGGCCTCGAGCCTCCCCCGCCACCCCTCTCCGTGTACCAGAACGGGACCACCACCCTGCACCGGCGGCCTGTCTCCGAGCAGGGAGCACCCCCTGAGCTGCCTCCACCGCCCCCACCTGCTGAGCCCCCACCGGCTGACCTGGGGCACCTGCCACCACTGCCCCTGCTGGACGGCGATGCTCGGAAGCTGGCCAAGCCCCCTGTCTCGCCCAAGCCCGTCCTGGCTCAGCCCATGGCCAAGATACAGGGCTCACCCACACCAGGGTCCAAGAAGGTGCCACTCCCAGGTCCCAGCAGTCCAGGTAGGTTCAGGGAGTGGTGAGCAAGATGCCTGCCCACCCCCAACACCTCTTCTGGGATTTAGGGGTGTCCATTCACCTCTGGACTAGCTCAGAGCCTGGATAGGGCAGCCAGGCTCAGACCCATGAATGTCACCTGTGGCTGGAGAACAAGGGCAGGTGCACTAGGGCCCAGGGAGGAAAGACCCTGTTGAATGGGGAGATGCCTTAAGGGCAGCCAAGGGAGTGCCACGTGATCATAGCATGCAGCTCCAGGAGGGGATGTGGGCGGGGGACCCTGGCCCGCAGGGCGACCTTAGCCTACGACACCCCCTGCGCTCCAGAAGCTGGGTCCAAACGCTTATTTGCACGTGGAGGCGCGCCTCCTGGCGGTGCGGGAGGGTGGGGCAGCGGGAGCAGCCGCGGGCCCGTCCGTGCCCGGTGCCAGCGCCGTCCTCTCCGCAGAGGTGAAGCGCGCCCACGGGACGCCGCCGCCCGTGTCGCCCAAGCCGCCGCCCCCGCCCACGGCGCCCAAGCCGGTTAAGTCTGCGGCGGGACTGCCGTCAGGCAGCGCCAGTCCATCGCCCGCGCCCTCGCCGGCACGGCAGCCGCCAGCCGCCCTCACCAAACTGGCCAGCACGCCGCCCCCGGGGGGCGCCAGGCCCCC